GCAAGCACAGATGGGGTCGATAAGGATGGCAACCCTTTCTGGGATGTGAGTTCAATGTCTAACTTGATACACCTCGTAGCTTGGCCTCCTAACACGCCTCTCTTCCCCTTTACAGCTCTCCAACAAGCGCCGTATAGGCCTCTCTCAATTCAAGAACACCACCTTTGTCAACATTCGCGAGTTCTACGAAAAGGACGGCGACATGCTGCCAGGCAAGAAGGGCATCTCCCTCACGGTGCCCCAGTACGAGGCCCTTGTCAAGGCCATGCCCGCTATCAGCGAGAAGCTGCGTGCCATGGGCCACGACGTCGAGGACGTTGAGGAGGACGGTGGCGCTCCCACTGCCGTCGAGGCCCCGAAGCCCGCGGCCAAGGAGAAGTCACGAGCTAAGAAGTCCAACATCGAGGCCACTAGTGACGAGGAGTCGGACTAGGAATCGGATTCGAGTGACAAGGATGACGACAACGAGTCTGAGTCTAATGAGGAAACGGGAAGTGAACAGTTCGATTCGAGTTCGAGTTCCGAGTGAGGGCAAGGGGGCAGGCGTTATTGAGATCAAAAGTTGCGCGCTTCGTTCGGATTTGTTTTGTTGCTTTGTCCTGGTCATGGCAAGACAGGGTTTGAGGTATGAAAACGGAGTGAGGATATGAGGCCAATACGGTGTTCTAAGGAGTTGCAATAGCCAGCTAGCTGAGCTCGATGTCCACAAAAAGTTACGATGTTGTCTGACCACATTTTGGGCATCCCCCCCCCTTCGAGTTCGTTCGGGAGGTATGCTTCTATGCTTCCTCAACTCCTCTCATTCACCCTCCTATCAGCCTCCCTGATGTCTGTTTGAGTGGTCGCCGTCACGCAAGATATCGAGCTGGTTTTGGTATTTGCTATAGACCTCCCATCAAGCTATTACAACCAAGGGAAGGTTCAAATTGACTCATGATAGACCCAAAGGGGCCGCGAGCGCGGAAGAAGGGCATAAATCCGTAATAGAATCGTCGCACAGGAACCACGTTCTACTCATTCGTAGCTTCAGGCCAAAACTGCGATGTTGAAATAACGCAGCGGAGGTAGCGGGACGAGACCGCTTAAGCAACGCCGGACATCCAGACAAAGATACCACAAGCCCATAATTCAGAAACGATTGGGGCTTTAGATTCAGTCAGATAGCTCGCATGAAAGGCCAAGGCAAAGGATGTTTTGTGCGAGAGGCTATGCATTTCTGCCATGAACGAATCGCAGGTCAAGATTGGTGTGCGGAAGATATGAGAAGAAATTCGACCCTCAAACATAAATGATGTACAACGCTACGGTCTGGGATTTCGGTGCCAAACTAGCCCATGTCCGGGGTTCCTCCATACCTCACACTTGAAAAGACGCCTATCAAGCCTCCTGTCGAAGTAGAGCAAAGTCAAACTGCATCTGATGTTTTATGAATCACTTGAAGCTAGATTGTTCTTACAAGATGTGTAATTCTTTCTGACGACGCTGTGTTGCAGACACTTGGCGCAGACAGCGGGAAAGTGTCATAAATTAAGGTTCTCTTGGAACATTCTCGAGAGACGTCGGTGAGGAAACATGATCAACCCCAGATGCTCACTAGATTCATGGAACAGCGGGCGTCTTCGCCAAAAGACTTGTTGAATACAACCTTTTGGAGAGAGAGAGAGAGATTTACCAGTGATTTTACACAGCAATCACCATCTGTCGTAGATCTTGAATGATATTTGCGAGAGCCATCTGTACTTATCTATGAACATAGATATACAAGTAATCATTCGCAAGGCACACTTGTTGACTGGTACATTTGACTGGCGAGTTTCCTGCTTTCACAGAAACGTGTGCCATAGAGTTCGATTCGCAAAAAATTAGACACAACAACATGTAGAAACAAAGAAATGAGTCCCTGATAAGTCAAGACCCCCGGTATAAGTCATTAAAAGCCGGTACTCAAAGTCGGATATCCATTGACGAGCCTCTGCTATTCAAGTTGAGGCCGCGTCCACATGCCTGATTCTTCGTTACCAAGTGACTTATACGCCACCTTGTTGCAGAGGGTAGTCTGGTTAGCCTTCATGAACTACACCATAGCCAACATCAAAAGCGAAGACGTTTCATAGAGATACTGTGCGTTGTCACGGCGAGGCGAGGAACAGAAAGCCCATCTCGTACCTGCCATGAGCAGCGTTGTCCAGCATTCGGAACGATTGTCATATGACCCGCAACCGCCCCGGAATCCGCCCGTAGGAGGACCCCAGCCGGCTCCGTTGTGTCGCACGGAGGATTACTGTGGGAACACGGGAAGATCATGCCGGATCTTGACAAAATGTCAGTGTTTGCAGATAAGGCAGGAGGAACCAACCAACCCATGCACATCTTCCAGGCCCATGGCCTCGCTTTGCCCAGCGCAAATTAAACAAGACCCATACGGGGATATCATCATCGCGCAATGATGGGCGAGGCGTTTTCATTGCAAGTACTTCGTACGTCGTACCTGTTTCCGACCGAGGTTCACAGAAACAAGCTCCAGGCCTCTATTGGTGGCCTCAACGTTCATTCGCAGGCACATGCTTCCTTCTCTGCAAACATCCATCACCCGGAACCATTGAGAGTTTCCCTCCAATTTCAAATTTCCCAATTCCATGTTAACCCCCCCATGTCAAATGTTTGATGATCCCGCAACGGTAATCATCAGCATTAAATTCACTAATACTAATTTTCTGGAGGGGTCCCCGTTTTAGTGTACAGGTTTGGGGTCCGAAAAAGAACTTAGTCGCCGGTGCTCCCCCGGCGCCCGTTGTAACCCCCCGCAATCCTCCCCTTCATTTCGTTGAAACGCTTCTTTTCTTTCCGTTGGAAACGGTTATCACAAAACGGCGTGTTGGATACTCTGTCCGCACTCTGCAGTGTAAGTACCTTTGCACTAAGGTCAGATCCATGTCCAAGGGGACCAAGACGATCTCGCCTAGTTTCAATGTTTTCTTCACCTTGCGCCACGGATGTAGGAAACATCTACACAGAGAACACTGGGAAGTTAAAACATTCAATGTTCACAATCAATTGCAAGTGCAGCAGGATGTCTACTCGCGCCATTGCCTCAGGCAGTAGCATTCAGAAATAACGCATCCTTCCCCGCTCTGGACAGCTGCTCGTCTCCCTCGCGATGCGAAGTTTGGAAAGAACCCTACTCCCCTCCCATTGTGTCGTTGGGCACAACTTAATGATCACGACCAGAGCAGCGCATCCGCGGCGTAGCCCGCGCACACGGCCGTGAGTAAGCCCGGACACTCCGATCCGCTGACCGGTGGCTGTGCGGCCGGAAGGCCCCTCCGGTAGACTGTAGGTGACGACGACGGCCGCGTCGCCCCCAATGTGCAATTGGTAATCTTGGTCTTGGCCTCTTTCTTCCTCCCTCAACCTCCCTCTAGCTGTTGGCCGTCTGAGAGACGCCAAGTTCGACCCTGCCAGTTCATGGCTAGAACAGCGTAAAAAGGCTCAGGTATACAATCAGAAAACGCACCAGTGGTGGATTGGAAAGTATCTTAGTGGTTGTGCGCTTATTTCCTCTCTCATCGTTATCGTGGTCACCGAAGAAGACGAAGCCAGCGTGCTTGGTACACAGAGAAGACTAATCTCCTTATTGAAGTTGCCGTATCCACTAGATACATAGAAGATGGACTTGAAGGGCAATTCGACCAACTTGGGCCTTGACCTATAAGACCTTGTCCTTATGTTGAGTGTCCTCTGATGGCAGGCATGTCTGGTTTACTTGTGGTTTTTCACGACGATGAGCTCTATGAGGTTTACGACGCGGTCAAATAGAAGAAACATATCGCTGAGAGATGCCACGACCGCCACGACCGCCCCTATCGTTCTTTATTTTGTCAAGTGAAGCACACTGCCCTGGCTTGTTCTTTCTTGGGAAGAATGTCGTGACGTGTAGAGGATAGTATTCAACCTCCTAATAATACCAATTCTTGCACTTTGGACGGTGCAATACAACAATGGAGTTGAAAGACTGCAGTCCACAGGATGAGTAGCCATCCTTTTCGACGTCGGCCTTTCGACCTCGTAGGATGGATCGAGATTCATATCGAACCCGCCACCAAGCATAGAATATCAGCATAGGGATGAGGTTCTCCATCGTGGGTTTTGGCTAATCACACCCGTTTGCACGATGAATCTCTCATCACTAGCTCTACTTGACTCAGTCGACTTATAATTAGGCAGCCATTTAGGAAAATAATTACGAACGCAAACACAGCTTTGCAATATGATTGCCCAATCCATATCAGTCCACAGAAGCTCAGCCACCATCAAACACGCACCTTCACAGTACAAGGGACGAATCAACTTGGCTTCACTTCCACTGGGCGGGAACCAACGACTTGGCATCGTCGCAACCGTCGCGATACGCTGACAAGTGGTATCTGACGATGCTGGCTACGGCATTTACCTCGGGCTGGCCCGCCAAAGTCTAAAATGGGAGCTGAGGGACTAGGGAGACCGCGGCACCGAATACGGCAGACAGCAAAAAGGCTAATGGGCTTTTGAGGGGGAAAGGGAGCTGACGGACGCCCGCAAATCCGTAGATACTGGACAGAGAGAGGGGAAAGAAAAGGGCTCGGTCTAGAATGGCAACAGTGAGGTGCGGCAAAGAGGGTGTGGTGTTGAGTTCGGATTGATTTGAGTTTGGGGAACAACATCGGATTATCGTCATTGACGGGAAGTCAGGTATACTCCAGTGCTGGACAGTAGATTTTTGGGGACACAGCTTGGCCACTTGGAGACGGCGGTATCATGTGACGATCAAACAGCAATGCAAGGCCACTTGCCTCGGTCAGCGAAGCGAGTTGAAGAGTGTAAAGTAAGGTAAGGCCTTCCATCTGCATCGCTAGAAAACGGGCAGATGGGATGGGATGGGATCGGATACCCATAGATCTCTCTTTTTTCCTGTTCCTAGGATATTCAAGCGAGGGCGCGTCATTCTTAGAGGAGGCGGAGACCTAGAGGAAGCCCATTGGATTACATAGGCGCGAGAAAGGCGAATAGCAGCGACGGGTGAACTTGTTGTGGCCGCAGCAGGTTTTCTGGCAACGGATGAGGCGATTCAGCCCCAATGGCGGGGAACAAGGCCGCTCGGGTCGGTGTGTGGCGTCGGCGGGGAAAGAGCCGGGTCCGGGTTGGTGGCTTTTTTCTCGGTGAAGGCAGATTCCGCGCATAAGGTCAGGGTTCTCGAGGGCCTGACAGAGGCGAGGTTTTGGGCGCTGGGGTTTGTGAAGTTCCGCGGGTTGTGTTTGAGACAATGAGTGCCAATGGTGGGAATTGTTTGAATGGCGAATGCTCGAATCCGAGAAGAACAGACCGAGGAGTGAGGCTGAGCAATCTTGAAGTGGAGACGCAACGGGAAGGCATGCAGGCACATTGGCGCACGACAGGTTGGAGGCCGTGATCCGTGGAGGCGTCGTCACCTTGGGGCAGGTGTGGCGTCGGTACGTCTTCTCTTTCCAGTTCTCTCTCTCACTGCGTATATTTTTTAATTTTATTTTTGGAGACACACGCAAAGGTTAAGCCCCCGCAATGGACCTGACTTCTAAGATGCGCTTGTCTGTAGAGATACGTACCTCCGAGGTACCTTTCGGAGCAGTTGCCCATGGCCCATGCTTCAAGTCTGAGGTGACACGGTGAGTGGTCGTTGATGAGGAAGGAGGGCTCCACAGCGTTTGACCCCTGGTCATCAAAGGGAAAGCGCCGGTTACCCTGTCAATGGGCTTCGGAAGATGGCCCCCTCTATGAGGTGCGTGGGTGCGTAGAATTAAACAACGGATCCTAGCAGCACATGCAACCACGGGAACGCGACACATCGAATGGGCGACGAACGGCTGTTGCGGCACTTGCTGATTGCTTGGAATCTCTGGCGATCGTCGCGGGTACCTTGCGCGGCGCAGCGAACAGGACTGCGCTCGGGAGAAGGAGGGAGAGAAGAAGGAAGGAAGGCAAGAGGGCTCCGACTTGCATGTCGAGGGTGGAAGGTGTCACGATCCAGTATGTTTCTTACTGAGCCTTTGGATTCGGAATCGATTCGGGTTCATACTCGGACCATGCAGACACACCGTATAAGAGAGAATACGAAAGCTTGTTGAAAGTGATACTAACGTCTGGCAGATGAACGGACAGAAAGGCCGGGCGGGAAATCGGACAGGTGGACAGACATTTTGACGGCTTGCCATGCCATGCAGTACCTGCACTGGACAGCAGTATGATGTATCCGTAAATTAGGGACAGATTTTCACGTCACTTTCATGTAATAAAAAAGTTGCAGTCGTCTCTGGCGTGGCCATCCCATCCATACATTTGCTCGACGATGCCGGCCTGGCTTCTTTTTTGCTTCAGGGACCCAATCATGGCTCGTACTCAGTCGCATCCCTCACACCCAAACCTGGAAAGCCAGGACCCCCCATCGCCATGGTGTTACTGTTGGTTGCCCCCCTCTCCGAAATGGAAGCCTCCCCGCCAGCCCGCTAAGCTCGTCACACGCACCACCAGTCCACAGTCCACCACCACCATCTCTCACAAATTTTTGGGTTGCTGGCATCCGCGGACAGGCTTTCAGAGCCGAAGGGGGACCCTGACAATGTCCACCCGTGAGGCCCGCGGCGACGTCACCCGCCCCCCAATTGCTCCGATGATGGAAGGCCACAAATCACTGTCCGCACCTTGAGAAGTCTTCTCGAAGCTCTTGATCAGGTACAAGAAAGTGGGAGGCGTTGGAATAAGCACATCCTCTTAAGCACACCAAGTAAGGTACTTGAGGCAAGGTAATCTGGCACTAAGCCGATATCAAGAGTACAGAAGCGAAAGGCGCCGCGCCACACTTGAAACGCGACAACTCAACCTCCATTTTGGATGGCGCAAACTAAGAGGTACCTACCACTGTACAGTATCCGTAAGATACCTCAGCTGCGGATCCTTCCTCCAACTTGAATCCACACTGCCTTACCGATACCGCGTAATTATGTATGGAGCACGCAGTATGAGATCTACTGGAGCAAAGCAAAAAGGCTGACTGCACTGGCACAGCTCCACGCCTGTTTTGTCTTGCTGCTAGCTGGCTGGCTGACTGCTGGTGTTGCTGCTGCTGCTGCTGCTGCTGCGCAACGGTGGTAAACGGGTACTTTCCCTTTCAAAGCCTCCACAACTTGTTTGCGACTGGCAACTGCGCACTTGCGGTCGCTCCTTCAACCATCGCTACCCCTGTCCATGGGTACACAGTCGTGACAGTAAGGTACTCCTCCTCCCGCTTCCCAAGTAAAAAAAGTCCCATCCCATCAACACAACCCCCCCGGGTCCCATCCTGGTCATCCTGCGTCCTGCCCTGCCTCCCGCAGACAATCTGCTACGGCTCAATCAGCTTGAAACCGTGCCTTCCCAGGTTTCTCGAGAGACGTCCTCCTTGACCTCTCCCACCTTTCAACGTTTCGACCGAACACATCCCTTCTTCTCCTCCTCTCCCTCACCTCCCTCACAAGTCACATATTCACTCCTCCCATAGGACCACAGCAGGACCACAGGACCCCCCTTTGGATCTCTCCCGCCCACAACCCCGAAACCCGTCAGGCGCATTGAGTTGAGCACCGACCCGCGCGGCCATACCGCATTCCTCACCACAGCCCTCACTGCCCTCCTCGAGCTGTGCAACCCTACCGGCAACCTCCTTGAACAGCCTGCCCTGCCCTGCCTGGGATTGGAAGGCCAGAAAGCACGAGCAAAACCTTGCGCACCTCACCCACCACAACTGTACCTCAGTACCTTACCTCACGGGGAAGCAGGAGCAAGAAAGAAAGAAGAATAGGGGCTCAGCTTACCTGAAAGTTGGACTGCCGACAGAGACCGATCCGACGACTCTGAGAGAGAGAAGGTGCGACTGTCTTGCTGCGCGACTGCAACTCTGCGACTCGACTCTCTGAGAAGCGCCGAACAGTCTCAACTTTCCCATCCTATCCACTTTCCACCTCGACATCTCCTTCCTCTCTCCCCCGCGACACCACTCTCTACCTCCAGCGCCCACCTCAATCTACCTAACGCCTACGGATACAACGTCTCTGACTGGCCAAGATCCAAATCTGCACAGCACGGCGCATCCGCAGCACTGCCAACAACGCCGCCGGCCTCCCAAGAAGCAGCATCCCGCTCTCCCCGAGGGACGCGAATCGTCTTTCCCGATCCATAGTCATATCCACCCACGGACTCTCCTGGCCACAAACATCAGACACTGGTTCCTGTGATTGACCCCCCGTACCATCGCAACCATGTCGTATAATCGTTTAGGCAAGTAACTTGGTCCCCTTCTGATATTGACCCTTGGCGTCATTCATCCCACATCTTCCTCTCCCTCCCGCACAAAGCCCAAGACCTGATTTGTCCCCAACAATCCCCTACTACCCTATGTATGGTCTACGGTCAAATCATCTCGTCATCCGTACCTGACCGCACTGCCTTTGTCAAAGAGCTTGCTTGTCCGGCGCATACTATCCGTACATCGAGGAAGTACGAATACGCACCTTCCGTGGCGCAAGCTTCTTTTCCTCTTCTACAACTACCTCCTTCTTGCCTCCCTAGCATCCTACTTCCGATTTACGGCAACTTCTTTGTGTAGACGGCCAACCTAACCTTCTCTTCCTGTAGACGACGATTACTACAACGACCGGATGGACCCCCGGTACCATCGTACGCCTTCGCCAGGCCAGCCGGCTCAGCATGGCTATCAACTAGAGGACAACCCATTCAACAACCAGGCACAGCAAGGATACCACCAGCCTCCCCCTCAACATGTCGACGACCCGTATGGACGCCCTAGTCCTCATTCTCAGCTTGATATTCCCATGGCACCTGGCCGCTACGGCACTCCCAGCGATCAATTACAACTGAACGCAGCAGTAAGCAATGCCCAAGATCCTTGATATCGAACTGGACTAACAGACATTCGCACATAGCACTCTGTTAGCAACTTGAGCGGTTACGATACACCAGTCAACCATGGCGACTACGGTGTCAACCCGGAAGCGCATCATGACGCCTACTACAACCAGTCTTACGAGCCTTCACCACACGATCCTGCACACCCTTACGATCAACCTACCGGATACAACGAGTATGATGACAACAGGCCAATGCTGCCTCACCAGGACACTATGACCACCGATGGAGGATACCAGGACAACCCGACACCACAGCCAGCTGGAGGAGGTATCAAGAGGTGGAAGACCGTGAAGCAGGTCCTGCTATACCGCGGAAACTTGGTTCTCGACTGCCCTGTGCCCCCAAGGCTGCTTAACCAGCTTCCCCACGGTGAGCGTGACGAGTTTACACACATGCGCTATTCCGCCGCCACTTGCGATCCCAACTTCTTCTACGACGATAACTTCACACTTAGACAGAGGCTTTTCTCCAAGCCGAGACATACGGAGCTTTTCATCGTTGTCACCATGTACAATGAAGACGAGATCTTGTTCGCCCGGACAATGATTGGTGTCTTGAAGAACGTCGAGTACATGTGCAGTCGGAAAGAGAGCAAGACCTGGGGCAAGGATGCCTGGAAGAAGATTGTTGTCTGTGTCGTCAGCGACGGTCGTGGCAAGATCAACCCTAGAACCCGAGCGCTGCTGGCTGGTATGGGTGTCTACCAGGAGGGTATTGCGAAGCAACAGGTCAACGGCAAGGATGTCACGGCCCATATTTACGAATACACCTCTCAAGTCGGCATGACGATCAAGAACGACGTCGTCACCCTGGTCCCCAAGCAGCAGCCTGTTCAGATGCTGTTCTGCTTGAAGGAGAAGAACTCGAAGAAGATCAACTCCCACAGATGGTTCTTCCAGGCGTTCGGCCGCGTTCTTGACCCCAACATCTGTGTTCTCATTGATGCTGGTACCAAGCCCGGTGGAAACTCCATTTACCACCTTTGGAAGGCATTCGACCTGGAGCCCATGTGCGCCGGCGCTTGTGGTGAAATCAAGGCCATGTTGGGTACGTTTGATGAAATAATTTGCTTCCAGTTTCGGCATCTCTAACTGACGGTTTCTAGGCACGGGCGGCAAGCACCTCCTCAACCCCTTGGTGGCGACACAGAATTTCGAGTACAAGATGAGCAACATTCTCGACAAGCCCTTGGAATCCGCCTTTGGCTTCATTTCCGTGTTGCCTGGTGCTTTCTCAGCTTACCGCTACGTTGCCTTGCAGAATGACAAGAATGGTCAGGGTCCACTGGAGAAGTACTTTGCCGGTGAGAAACTTGAGGGAGCCGGCGCTGGTATCTTCACATCCAACATGTACCTCGCCGAAGATCGTATTCTCTGCTTCGAGCTTGTCACAAAGAGAAACTGCCATTGGATTCTGCAGTACGTTAAGTCTGCTACCGGCG